GCAGAGGATGAGATGGTTAGATAGCATCACTGAAGCAGTGAGCATGAAACTGAGCAAACTCTGGGAGGCAGTGAAAGACAGGAAGGCCTGGCGTGATATGGTTCATGGGGTCATGAAGAGTCAGACATGACTTAACGAGTGAACAACAGCAACAACAATACAGCCCATTGTAGTGGCACTTTCTTTTATTTGAGTTATACCTCACCTTTCATTCAGACAGCATATATAGCACACCCTCCTCCTGTTTTTTCCCCACAACTGCAAGCCAACTGGTGTAGGCTGGGCTAAGAGGAACTAGCCCAAGGCCACCTTGAGAGGTTGGACTTAGAAGGTTGGTCTCCCAGGGCCAGTTCGACACTTTCATCCCTGCACTACATGGGCTCCTGGGCTGAAAGAAAAGGATTGGCCTAAAGTCATCCAGTGAGTCAGATTTTATGGCTGAGGGAGGACTAGAATTGGGGTCTCCCTGCTCCTAGTCCTGCATGTTCAGCACTCCACGCCACTGGCTTTTGGAATGAGGAGGAGGAACGGACCCAAAGCCCCCAAGAGAGCTTCTTTGCCTGAGGAAGGACTAGAACATGGATCTCCCTTGCGCCTGTCCAGTACCTTCACCACTAAGCTATACCAGCTGTTAGGCTGAGGGAGGGACTGGCCCAAAATTACAGGCCCCTGTGAGCTTCTGTGATTTGTGGGTGGGTGGAACTAGAACCTGTATCTCCTCACTTCTAGTCCAACACCTTAACCATTTCACCATTCTGGTTCTCCATCGAAGGAATCAGTTTGAAACTATATGGTAGACATAAAGCAGCAGGTAGATATTTTCTGTTCTCCTGACACTCTTCTTTTTATGTCTCTCATTCTGCTTCTGGCACCCTGCCCCTGTCTACCACTCCCAGGCCAAGGACTATGGAACTGGAAAGATAAGCATATACCAGGAATCTGCACTGATATCTTCTAGAGGTCTTCTGGAATTAGGTTCTAAGGCTGCATATTGTCCACTTCTGTGTTTAACGCAAAAGAACATGCTCGCACAACAGTTATTCAGCTGCATCTGGAGAACAGGCTAAGATTGATAGGGTTAAGGGCTAACTTTGTTTAGTTTTTTCATAGCATGTTGGGTGAACCCATCGTCTTGGGTTGGGTTAGGGTTCATTGTGTTGTGCAGACTCAGAAAATGGGTTATTTCACAGTCTAATCTTTTGTGGGAATACAGCCATGGTGAATAATGTTCAGGTGGCAATAACACTTGCTTGGCTGGAAGTGCGTTTATTACCAACTCAGACTGATGAGGAAGATCATGCATGTTTTCCATTCTTAAAACCTCATAAATGCCCAAATTCTCTCCATCCTCAAAATGGGGAGAACTTTCATCTTGGCATCCACATCTTTGTTGGAAACCTGTTAATCATGAAGATGGAAACCATCACGTCAGAGTTAGCTACTTACCTTTATTCCCCAGGTTGTCAGTGACTTACTGACACCACCGTGTGCGCATTTAAATGTTTAAAAACTTTTTCTTCTTCTCCACTTCACATCTGTTGGCATTAACCTGAATGTGAGGTTCTTACTAAGTGTAATTTCTTGTATATTTTCATTTCATTTGCTTCCTGATCTATACCCTATAAGAAGTAATCCAAACGGTTTTGAATAATGAACATTTGGTTTATAAAACCTTCTATTCCCATTAAAATGCAACCGTGGTTCTTGATCACTCTTAGTATAATTGGATGAATATAAGGGGACAATAGCTCCTATTTTTAATGAAATACGGATAGCCGCTGTGGTATAGTGTTAAGTGTTGGATTAGGACTGGTGAGACAAGGATTCGAGTGCATTCTTAGCCTCTGGGCCAGTAACTCCTTTTAAGCCCAGTTTATCCTTACAACTGTGTTGCTGTGATGGAGATAAAATTAATAAAGATTTTGAACTTGAGAAAAGGAGGGACATAAACATATCAGACACTTCTGGTGTTGAGCAGAACACTGCAAAACGGGGGAGCTATAATATAAATGAGATTCTTTCCCAACCTAGACCAGCATTAGACATATAGGGATTTGAAAATATCTCTGATAAAGCAGAATGATTGGTAAAAGCGGTTGTGAGCCAGGGTGGAGAGTGCCAGTAAGTAAAATTAGATGGCAGGGCTGTTTTGTTGCAAATCTTACTAGCGGTTAGACAGCAGCGGTAATGGGTGAACAGTTTTCAGACTGCACAGCTGAATAAGTGTGATTTTTTTACAGGGACTGTAAATACCCCCTGGTGTATAATTGATTTTATTGCTTTTGCATAATTTTAATAATGAGTTTTGATTGTGGTTGTGCTGGGAGGGAGGGACTTTAGAATTCTAATTACTTCTATGATGGTTAATATCCAGTGATAGGCAAATAAAACCCGTGAGCAATTTGATTTTTTTTTCATATATCTAAAAACAATTGCTTTACAGAGTTAAGGAAGCATAACATTGCATAGATCTGTTATTTTTTACATAAGCTCCGTGTCAAAACAGCCGAGGAGACGGTACAATCATTCACAAGCAGTAAGACAAAATCTTTGTTCCAGTACAGTACATTAAGAAAAGTCTTTGTTTTAAATAAGAGTAGGATCAAAGGGCGCTGCGGCCCTTTCTCCCGCATAGGAGAAATAGAAATCAGAGATGGCAATGCTGGATACCTTTTGAAGAGAAGCAGAGAATAAAAACAACGTTCCCTGTTAACAGTTTCAGAATAGCAACATTGGGCAGGATTGTCCTGCGGGTTGGCCAGATCATTTTATTCATCATTTTGAATATTGGTGATGGAAGTTCTGGGCATGCATTTTGCAGTTCAGATTGCTCACCGGAACAGGGCAGATCTAAAATGATCTAATAGACTTGCTGCTGCTTTAAGACTACCTAAATCATTATTGTACAGGTCATTAAGAGGCCTATGGTGAGAGGTTTTCATCTAGAGACCAATTAATCCAGTAAGGCATGTGATAAAAAAACATGCTTTTGTCTGTTCTTGCTAATAGAAATAGTCCCCCCCCCATTTCCTGCTCTCTGGTCTTTTTAAATGGATATGTTGTTAAATATTGAAATTGGATTCTTCCTCATCCAAAGCATGGATTCTTTTTCATATGCAAATAAAAAGCATAACAATTTTGTTCCACCTCCAGATGGAAATCAAAACAAAACCCTTCCTTGCATATGGAAAAACTCCTCACCAAGGGCTTTTATTATTAACATGCTACTTTTTAAAACAAGTGATACCTCTCCAGCCCCAGGACCCAATGCCCCATTTTCATGATACCAGATTCCCCCCTTAACTACACAAATGAATATTCGTTTCCCACCATTTGCACCAAAAATGTAGTTTGGGGACTTAAGGGTTAAATTTAAAAAATACAAAGAAAAAATCATTTACCTCCCACAAAAGGGAAAAAATAGCCCCACCCACATATATAATTCCACCAACCCCGCATCGCCATTCTACCCAATGCAGTCCCACAATAATATAGCCATTAAAAGATTATTTCTTTAAAAAATACACATATTCAAACATTCGTCCCCCACCCTGCTGTTTGAAGAAGTGCAATCCAACAGTCTGAGAAAAAGTTTGCCAACTGATTTTGTGCATTCTGTAATCTAAGCCTCAGCTTGGCAAGATGAGTGGAGGTTTTGGAAGTAACCAGCAAGAGAACACTTTTCCCCCCTCCATTTTTTAATCTTCACTGAAACCAGATGATGATGATGATGATGATGATGATGATGATGATCTTCTTCTTCTTCTTCTTCTTCTTCTTCTTCTTCTTCTTCTTCTTCTTCTTCTTCT